TTTCTACCTTTATGGCTTTATGGTCAGAAAAGATGCTTTGAAATATTTTGATGCTTTGGATTTTGTTAAGGCTTGCTTTATGGCCTAATATGTGGTCTGTTTTGGAGAATGTTCCATGTGCGTTGGAAAAGAAAGTATACTTGGCTGCTGTTGGGTGGAGTGTTCGGTATATGTCTATGAGATAAAGTTGGTTGATTGCAGCATTTAGATCTTCCGTGTCTTTGTTGAGCTTCTTTCTGGATATTCCCTCCTTCACCCAAAGTAAAGTCTCCTACTACTTTTGTGGAGCTGCCTATCTCTCTTTTAAGTGCTGTTAGAGTTTGCTTTATGTATTTTGGAGCCCTGTCGTTGGGTGCATAAATATTTATTATGATTATGTCCTTCTGGTGTGTTGACCCTTTAATCATTATATAGTGTCCTTCTTTATCCTTTGTGGTGGATTTTACTTTAAATAGGCTTTAAAGTCTATTTTGTCAGAGGTTAATATTGCCACTTCTACTCTTTTTTGAGTGTTGTTTGCTTGATATATTTTTTTCCATCCTTGGAGTTTTAGTTTGTTTGTGTCTTTGAGCCTAAGATATGTCTCTTGTAAGCAGCATATAGACGGATCTTGTTTTTTTATCCAATCTGCCACTCTCTGTCTCTTTATTGGTGCGTTTAGTTCATTTACATTCAGCATAATTATTGATAGTTATGAGTTTAGTGCTGTCGTTTTGATGTCTTTTTTTGTGTGTTGTTCACAGTTTCTTTGTTCCACTTAATTTTCTGTGGTGAGTCATTTTTCTTTATGTATTTTGTTTTCATCTTTTTCATTGTTGTTGATTTTGTGTTTGCTGAGTCTTCATATTTTTTTAGTTTTTTATTTTGACTTGTAGGATTGTTAGTTTCCTTTGTGGTTACCTTAAATTTAGCGCTATTTTTCTAAGTTTATACCAGTCTTTTATTTCTTTATATAGCCTTGACTTCCTCTCCATAGGAAAAATCTATGTTTACGTTTGTAAGTCCCTCTTTTTTGTTTTAATGTTGTCATCTTTTACATATTGACATATGTTTCCCTATTTTCAGTGTTTTAGCTTTGATTTACTTTTGTGACTTCCCTATCTGGGTTGATACCTGGTTGCTCTGTCCTGTGTTCCAGTCTTGGATTGTTACCTGATGTTACTGATTTTCTAACTGTAGGACTCCCTTTAGTATTCCTTGTAGTTTTGGTTTGGTCTTTGCAAATTCCCTAAACTTCTGTTTATCTGGAAATGCCCTAATTCTGCCATCGTATTTGAGACACAGTTTTGCTGGATATATAATTCTTGGCTGGCAGTTTTTTTCCTTCAAGGCTTTATATGTGTCATCCCATTGCCTTCTTGCCTGCATGGTTTCTGCTGAGTAGTCCGAGCTTTTTCCTGTTGACTCTCCTTTGTAGATGACTTTTTGTTTA